GTCCGCGGAGCTTTTGAAAATGTGTGCATAAAAGTGGGTTTAGAAAATACATGAATGGGAATATTCGAAAGAGTTGGACGAATGAAAGTCTGCATTCTTGCAGGGGAAAGAAATTTCGAATATTTATTGCATCTGTCTAAACGATTGATAACAGTTTTTGCTCGTAACTGTGAGATAAATTGTCGTCGAGTTTGTAGTAACATTTTTTATCCACTTCACCTTATTAACACGCAGTGCAAGTTTGTCCTCGACCTTTTCAAACACTCTGTATATGTCTATCGGATTTCGCGTATCTCACACTTATCGAAGAAACTAAAAACGCGCTTTACGTTGCGAAATTATTTACATATCATTGTCATTAATGTATTTTTAAAAGCAGTTAAGAAAATTGAAACGTTCAACTCGCGAAAATCCTTGCGATAGAATTTGGATGAAATAAGGTCTTTAATTTGTTCACTTGCGCCATATTTCGAAGCTATAGATAGAACTACGAACGACGCTAAGTGTGTAGATTAACACTAGAACTACCGATAGTTAACACGAAGTTTGGTTTTCTACCAAAACCAGTGAAAATCACTGGTCTTTAAAAAATACGTAATAATAGAATATTTTTATATTTATTGATTCACTACTTTCTTACAGAAGGAATTCCATGTTATGTAGTACATTTTTTATATTATTTGTTGAAGTAACTACTCGAAGAGAAACTCTACATCTTTATTTGTGTATATCTGTGACCTAGAGACTGCTACTACGCAGAAATATTCTAAATAAGGAGTGGTGCATATTATTGTATGGAGTATACATTATGTTTTGGGTTGCAAGGTCTAGGAACAAAGGAACAAATAAACAGATTTCTATTTATGTTCCCTGTAGCCTCTAGCCCAAGTTATAAGCTTAATTTTCTTGGTAATGTCCTTTCGCTATAAGTATATGAACGTGCTCCCTATCATTCGACTGTCTAGTAACACTAAGAGAGTAAGGATGTGAATCAGCATAAACTTATACATTATACATTATACTTATACCTTTAATTATTTCAATATACTTTTCTATTACAAATTCATCCACTCGGTCTTCAATCAGTCAACCTCAACCTCAACGTTATTAATCCATCTGGGACTGTGATCCCTAAACGAGGGTTGACGCATTTATAAAATTGTAAAACCAGTCATTCTGATTGCTGCGGCATTTCTAGCGTTAGCATCTAGCGATCTAGCGATCGATCCGGAATTTTCCTGGTAACCGATATCATCGTATCGAACGATGCGCGGTAAAAATTTGAAAAACGCGTGGGAAATTGCACAAAACGAGGAAACTGGTTAATTGGGGTTCGATAAACAGATTGCAGGACCCTTTTACATTTTGGCAAGTACCAGTCATTTTGACTGGTATCGGTATCAGTAGCCTCGATATAAAATTATTTTTAGTTTGAATACATAAAAAAGAAAATGAAATTCATTATATTATTCTTTTAGTTATCGTTGCGGAAATCATTACATCATTGCGGAAAAAAATATAACACGAAGTGGGAATTGTAAAATAAAATTGTAAAACCAATCAATTTGACTGGTATGGTAGTTGTAGTGTTAATAAACAGAAGACACTTTCGTAGATGAAAAAATACCAGGATTCGTACGATATTAAGACGATGATAAGCTTTTATTTACAAACGCTTCGACGACTATAATTTGATAGGAGACACGCGACCTGACGTTTCCTCGTCTCACGTAAATATCAATTAATATCGTGTGAAAAATGTTATCTTAGGTAATGTAATTGTAGTAGCTCGTAACTATCACTCGATACGGCAATAAATAAATAAACAATAATAACGATGTTAGAGGCGATATGGTATTATCAAGGAAGATGTTATCGAGTCGCGAACATTTCGTTATTAATGTTTTGAAAAAGAATGTGACAACAGGCGCCGGTATTATTAATGCGTTTCAATGAATTCATTTTTACGTGTATTCATAGGTCCTTGCAAGTTTCTACAACGTTGCAACATCACATTTGTAAATTATACTCAATAAGTTTTACTCAAATAGAATATTATTTCCATTCGCGTAGGTATCAAAATCCTACACAATAAACGTCGCTTTTCAACGAGTGCCCGTTTCAATTATCTTAAAATTAAATTCATACTAAATATAACATCGCTTTCTATTTGCTAAATGATACTGAGAAAAACAAATTTGATAAAGCTCTATGTACTGTGAAAATTTGTAACGCGTACCTTCTGACGCTAAATTCCGAAAATTTGTGCAACAAAATTATACAACACGATCTACGATCTCAAGGATATTAAGAATTTGAAAGAATTTCGTGAGAACGATTTAAGACACACTTGTTAAGGTACAAGTAGCTATGAACTACGATTTACTTACAATTTTTGCGCGATTTTATCAGCATGAGGTTTATAAACTTTGTTGTTGTTGCATATCGTGATACCTGGAAAATGTAAGTCCCTTATGGGGTTCGACGTGTCTATTATCGTCACCGTAGGGTTGTTCGAATAATATTGCCACAAACGTAACATCAGCCATACGCAGAAGATGATCGCTGCCAAGCAGATCTACGCGTTAAACGAATGAAAGAAATTTTTGTAGTTTTTATCGAAATTATCCGACGCGATAGGAAACGTGGACGAAAGTTCCTCTTACCATGAGCCAAACCATTTTATGACATGTTGTCTCGCCTGTAACGATGTATCGAAAACCGTGCAACCCTGTGTTCTGGCAATAATCACGAAAGAATCGCTTTACACCTTGTGCGATATTCAATTGACTATCTGCATCGAAACAAGCGAATATTTATAGACAATTTATATATAAAAAAATACATGAGATATCCTAGATACGTTGCACACGTATTATGATGATCATATTCGAACTTGCAAGTTTTTAAGTGTGAGATTTTAAATGCTATTGTAACGAATACTGTAGCTACTGTTAGCGAATATTGTCTGTACCTATTTATTTATTATTTTAAAATACACTTGACGATTTCAGCAGCGAGTTATCTCGTTATTCAAACAACAAATCACACTACAGTCTATTTTTGTCTTGCCATTTCACGCGGAATCGACTCACGTAACGCTTTGTATACGAATAGTCGAATTTTCTCATATTTTCATCTAAATATTAGGTTGTCCGAAATGTTTCTTTCGTTTTATAAGGAAATAATAGTTACACAGGGTGGTTGGTAACTGGTGGTACAAGCGGAAAGGGGGTGATTCTACGCGAAAAAAGAAGTCGAAAATCTAGAATAAAAATTTTTCGTTCGAGGCTTTGTTTTCGAGAAAATCGACTTTGAATTTTCGCTCGGTACGCGTGCGGTACGTTATAACGGATCTCACTGTAGATCGCTGTCTCGATGGGAGAATTTAAAAAATTAAAAAAAAATTTTTATTCTATATTTTCGACTTTTTTTTTCGCGTAGAATCACCCCCTTCCCGCTTGTACCGCCAGTTACCAACCACCCTGTATATTTCGCACGTTTTGCTTACAAAGAAATAACGAAGGCGAATGGTTTGTCGAAATAAACGAAGCCTCGCTACAATATGTCGCTATCGACCCTCGTTACAATATGTCGCTATCGACTGTTACCAAGGTGCCACGGTGGTCACCCGTGACCACCAATGAGATAAACGGTCCATTGGGGAAGAACGTTGTCTTACATCGTCAATTTCTTATTATTTCGCCATTATATGCTTTGAATAATAAAAATACTACCGTGGCGCCCTCAGCGAAACATGTGATTTCGGTGTGGCAGTCAAAGTGTTAATTATAATTGAGAATTTTTTAAAACATTCATTGGGATGTAACGGGTTTGCGTTCACAGGTCTCACAGTGGAAGATTGTTTGTTTTTTTACCGCGTTACTTCCTTTTGATGAACAAACAAGACACTTTTTCTTTTTCCCTTTCGACAACTGATTTATCATATGCAGTTTCCCATCTAAACGTTGTTCCTTATGTGCTGCCTGCCATACACATTGTTATTCCGACAGTTACTTACGAGCTGATTTACCAATAATTTGATTTCCTGAGAAATCTTGTAAAATATATAAGCCTTTAATATGCTTGTTTCTAATCGCCAAAAGAACAATTTCCCCCACCATTTCAACGATTTTATCAGGAAACAATATTTTGATGCGTATTGGTCGGCTTCATCTACAGTGCTTGGGAGGCACATTTGGAGCGTTAAGTGTTAGAAGAGGAAACAAATATCCGCGTAGTTGGAATTTTTTGAATCGTTTTTATCGAAATATGAATTTCTATATTCGTATCGGTGTTTCAACGACGTCGAGATATTCACGCGGCGAACTATCGAAAGCGTGCAAATCGCTATTTTACGTAGAACCTCTACATCGATGTTATTGGGTTGGCAACTAAGTGATTGCGGATTTTGTCAATACCAGCTAATGGCAAAATCCGCAATCACTTAGTTGCCAATAGAAACACGAGATATTAAACGTAAAATCTGCTTCGTCTGTAATATTCTGCTGCGTACGGAGAAAAGAATGTAACGCGATCCGCGTTATCGTGTGCAACGTTTCGTACGATTTATTATCTTATTTTCGAAGGAACATAAATATGATGTAATACGTAGTGCTGATACATTGGCTATAGTAATTTATGTTCCGTGTGGGATAGAGAGCACTCTACCGTGGGGAATCGTTGGAAAAAATGAATTCGAAATGACGAGGGATGAAACAACGCGAACGATGTAATAGAATCGACAGACAAGAAGAAAGGTAGAGGAATAACGATGAAATTGGCTGGAGGAGAAAGCAATGGTATTATTGGCAGTGTGTGAATTTTTATACGAAGGGATAAAGAAACAATAAAATAATAACGTGTTCATTCTATGAAAAAAGTAGAAATACTATGTGTAATGTTGTGATAGTCGACTATGTTGCGTAAAGTTACAACTACTTTACCATAAATCGAAATTACAATGAAATAATATCGTAAACGCGTACTCTTTAGCTTTTTCTTGTACCATCCGCGGGTACCGTGACACTTAAGCCTCATCTTATTACGCCGACGTTAAACTTCTTCGACACTCGTCACGAATATTCCGTATATAACTTCTTCAACTTGTTCGACGCTCGTGGAAAACTGAGCAAAGCGAGCCAGAACTAACAAAGAAACGAAGATGTCGATTCGCGATAATATCTAACTCGTTTGTACGTCGCGTTGATTTTATCGGCGGCTTTTAATTCCATTTTCTACCAATTTCGCCCCGTCAATTCCGCGAAACGTCATTACGATGACGTCCACTTTCAATTCGTAACCACTTAGGCAAATGATACGCGGCCGAGGGACCGGCAAGGTGACAAGCGATAGATCGATGTGTTCGATAATTAATTATTGAACGCAATTATAATATACGATGAGAAAAGTGAGGTAGCAAACATTTACAGATTCGTTGTGAAATAACGAGTCTTGAATAATGCAAAATCTTGTAGAGGAATCGAACGAAAACGCTTGTAATTATTATAAATAGAAATGTCGTACAAATCCCTTTCTTCCGAATCATCGACGACGAGTGGTCCGCCATATATTTTTCGTTCGTCGTAGCACGTCGCAGAGGGCGTAAGAAACACTCGGCTTCTTTTCCAGGTCGGTATTTCCATCTATGGATATTTCAGAACCCGAGACACAAAATTCCATTTGACCAGCTAGCTGTTGCGACCTCTTCGAAAAGCGTATACCTAAAATGTGTGGCAAAAGTAAGTGACAACGAGTATACAAAACACAAAATATTGCCACTTCTGCATGACGACTATACTCGCCACAAACAGCTAACTGGTCAACGTCACGTTTATTCTGTTCTTAGTCAATGGTCTGTACCAATCGTACAATTTATATCGGTCTATCGACAGTCGATCTATTCGTCTGTTATTTTGTCAACGGTTATCGATAACGGTTAGTTTATCACGGACGCGATACAGGATAGACCTGACCTCTTATGGTACTTCGTGATACCATCGATGAGCGATACAACTGTGGAAATACCGATTGCGCAAAGGAACAGAGGTCTTGTTACGCCTTTTACGATTTAAAGTCACGAACGATATCGTGTTCAATGTAATTACGATCGAAGAATAAAGTTTGAGATAGACGCGAAAAACGTTCGATAGAACTGAAACGATTTTCATGAACGAGCAGTCGGTACGAACAAATTGAACTTTACCTTGTACCGGTCGTTTCTATCGGAAGTTTGAACTTCGGCTAATACGTTGGTCTGTAAATTAATGATGCATTTACATTACGGCCAGAAGCCCGCAAATTCCACGGAATTATAGTAATGCTAGCGAATTACTCACTTCGTTAACTTCCATGAAACCGTGGTAGACGGCCGGTACTAATTTAGATTTGATACGCCGCCAGTCAAATAACGACGCGATTACAGTTTCGCTTGATACGTTGATCGACGCGTGAACGGGTATCCACGTTCGTTGGTTTGCGCAGATTTACTCGACGAGTATCTCAACGAATCGCTCGTATCTTCTACGCGATTGAATTATCGCTGATCGATGATCGACGGTAGACAAACTTCTCGCCTTTTCTAAGTTTCGTCATTGAGAATTCCAATGAAACTAGGTTCGTGAATTTCCTTTATAAATATTATTTTTACGACGCTTAGAAATAGTAAAAAATACTTCGGATCTGTAATAAAAGCAAGAAAAGCAAACATTTCGCGTGTCTCTCGGAATATATCGAAATCTATAACGTTAGTTTTATCAATGGACGTAAAAAGCGAACAAAGTATCCCATCGCAATTCGAACTACGAGAAATGGAGAATTAACCACGCCATTATTACCACCATCCCAATTTTCCTGCTGTACATTTTTATGTTTCATTCGATCGGCTATTAATTCTGTCGAGAATTGTGCATCTTAATCGCCGAAATAAATGTATAGGAACACTTACATTACACTTAGAATTGATATCAAAATAGTTTCACATTTATTCGATATGCGATTTACAAGATATTCGTCGATACGCGTTTGCACGCGTCTCACCACTCTCTTTATCTCCCCATCTTCTTTACCACATTACCAACGGAACAGTTGCATTCATCCGTTTTACGAGACGCTGTGCACGCACATACTTCACACACTCATACTCGTATACGTGTGTCACTACTACGCGGCAAATCTAATGTAGCACACAAAATTACACATATCTCAATAGTATCAATTAATCGTTTCTGATAGTTCTTTTCTGTTATGTGTTCGCCTATGTATAGATTATTCAAAAGAATTCTATTTTGTGAGAATATAACGACGCGTGATAATTATGGACAAAGTAATACCTGTAATATAATTTATCATAATGCAATTACTTGTACGTGCGTATCACGCGTGTGTCATCTATAAATTGATTGAAACGAAAATTAGATAGCAGATAAAGGTAATAGGAAAATGAGCGTGTGTATAGTCGCGAGCAACTTTAAGTGAAATTAAGATAAAGAAATACTACGATTCCCTGGGTAAGTGTAATTTCCGCAGAAAAATTCTCTTCGGCCGTAAGCAATTTCGAACGTTTCACTTGGCGAACGTCGGCAAACTTTTTCGAATTTTCGCCGATATCTTCGCGTTCCGCCGATATCGGAATTTCGCTTTGGAAAATTCACAAGGGAGGAAATCGAATCGCCATCAGCGGTGTTCTGAAATTTCGGGCATTTCCGCGTGTCACCAGGGACGAGTCGGACTCTGATCGATTATTAGAGCGGAGATTTCGCGAAACGGATGACGCCCGCGCAAACATAAGTAGGTTAATATTGACAGCAATCAGACTGGCGGACGTTACAAACATCGTCGGCCGTGCGGACGAATTAAAATTGAAACAGGAATTTTCAATGGGAGTCGACTGCGCGCGGAAAAACAGCCGCAGGATTGACGCGCTACGTTTTCGTTTTTGCTCACATCCTGCAATCGTTGGCGCAAACTTAACCGGTTAACCGAAAAAAAAAAGAAAAAAAAAGAAAATATAGGAATGGGAAAAGCGCTTGAAAAATATCGATCGCTCGATTATGCAGTTGCCTTCGCAAGTATTAGGTTGTCCGAAAAGTTTCTTTCGTTTCATAAGGTAATAATAGACGAACAACAATTTCTGTTTTATATTATTTTATTGAATTATGTGTGATCCATTTCGCTCTATTTCGATTATTATGTTCGTGTATAATTCAATAAACTAATATAAAACAAAAAACATTTCTATTATTTCCTTATAAAATAATTATAATTATAACTATTATATATAACTATATACGGAGTGGTTGGTAACTGGTGGTACAAGCGGAAAGGGGGTGATTCTACGCGAAAAAAGAAGTCGAATATAGAATAAAAATTTTTTTTTTTAATTTTTCCATCGAGACAACGATCTACAGTGAGATCCGTTATAACGAGACGTGATAAAGTGCACGCGTACCGAGCGCAAATTCAAATTCGATCTTCTCGAAAACAAAGCCCCGAACGAAAAATGTTTATTCTATATTTTCGACTTCTTTTTTCGCGTAGAATCACCCCCTTTGCGCTTGTACCACCAGTTACCAACCACCCTGTGTAACTATTATTTCCTTATAAAACGAAAGAAACATTTCGGACAACCTAATATTTAGATGAAAATATGAGAAAATTCGACTATTCGTACACAGAGCGTTACGTGAGTCGATTCCGCGTGAAATGGCAAGACAAAAATATCAAATAAAACTCTTCCGAATTCTGTTTCCGATCAAAAACGGCTCAAATCGACAGCTCGAACGTTTGTTAAGTATATTTAAGTATATTTGGCTAATTATAGGGTCCAGGTGCAGGTAAACGAGCAACGAGAGACTATTGCACGTGGGAAAATGAGCGAAAAACGTGAGATAGAATTTTTCCCCTTAAGGTCTCGTTCTCGAGAAAATGAAATTTGCATCTGTTTGGCTCAGAAGTGGTTTAGCGCAGGCGCGCCACTCATTTTCCAATTTATTTCTCTCGAGAACGCAGCGTCTTATGAAAACCTTTCATTATACATTTTACAGTTATTTTCACACCTGCACTTCTATCGATCAATTACGCTTTTGCTCGTTCTGGCTCGGTCAGGTAGGTTCGAGTTCTGGTAGCGCTCAGGTTGTACAAACCTGTCGGTTGACAAGTTGGTTGGCGCAGTCGGATCGTTCGTACGATATTGCCACGTTGGGTGAAAACGGCGTACCTGTAACTTTCGCTCGATCATCAAGCAATTGCTGCCAGCTAGTGCAAACACAGTTCATCTGTGCGCGTATGAAATAAAAAAAACCGTAACGGTGTTTGTACACTGTGACGTAGGATGAAATCGATGGCCGATCGTCGAAAGCTGAGAGGCATTTTTCTCAAAAATACCTTCTGACCTTCCAAAAATACCTTCCACGCAAAGCAGATTGTGAAAATCGTAGCTTGAGATTTGCGCTCGACATTTTCAGTTTCGTCCTTCGTGTGCCTGTGTAGCCGATAGCAAAGGATCCTGTGCTCGTTAAACGAGTTACTAAAAAAAGTTAAAATAACAGAAGAAAAGAAATAAAAGTTTTGCCAGTCGGATCGACCAGACGAGTAAATAATTCACCGTCTGTCTTTTCACCGCGTGCTTTTGATTCGTCACGAGTGTACGATAAGGTTCGCGCAATAAGTCAAAAGTCGAAGTTGTTATTCGGCGAAGAAAAGTCGACGTGCTCGAAGGATTCCATCTTACGGACTACGCGTGTTAGAACAAGCAACGCGGAATGCTGGAAAAGCCTCGTTTCTCGTCCCGACGTCGGCGATGATCGATGAGAAATTCACGACGAGCGTGCGTTCCTGCCGAGTGAAAATGCCCGGTTTAGCTTTCCATGCCGGCTGAGATCGAATTGCTCGCCGTGTTGAAAATTTTTAACGCGCCTTTTAAACATCCTGCGCCGTGTAATTCGTCGATCGCGCCAGCTACTTGCAACTTTTCGGATAATTTCAAGTAACACGAGAGAGCACTCGTGGCGGAGTTGCGTTTACATCGACGGCTTACGACGTGTAAATATTCCACGTCCACTTTTCGCCGAGTTTCGCTTTTTGTACGCAACAAATGGTTCTCGACTGTTTGTATGTATGTGTGTTGTATAAAAATCACATTTATACGTAGTCGGTGAATTTGTATCAGCGTTCCATATTTTCGAGTGCTCCACCTTCGTCGCTTTATCGTACGGAAAAATGCACCACTTGCGACAAATTTCACGATAGCAATGGCAAGGTTATGAAGACAATGGGGAAAGCGCTTTTTGTCGGATTATAAAGTGGCAGTGAATTTTTGAAACTGTTTGTCCGGAG